AATATCTGTAACAGAGCTCAAGATTTTGCTCGAATATTTTCGAGCAGCTTTAATATAACAGCATATTCACACACGGTAGTTGCAAGAATACAAAAGCAAAAATCCCATGTATTTTGTATGTGTAATCAAAGTTTCGAAAGTCAGAAACGAAAATCGTTCGAAACGTCAAAACCTGTTTTCTCATGTGTTTTGTTTGTGTAATTTGTTTGTGTAATTTGTTAAAATAGGAGGTAGGACAAGCAACCATATGATCTGACAACTTCACCTTCTTCTTTATCGTACTTTCATACTTATTCATTGCTCGAAATTTTTCTAGCACGAGCCCAAGCAATTCGAGTATTTTGGCTAAAACTTTTAAATTTTTTCTCAAAACTTTTTTCATCGAAATGTTAAAGAATTTTTGACCAAAAAAAAAATTAAAAATTTAAATATTACAAAAAATCATTTGAGCAGTTGAGCAATGAATGACTATCGAGCGAGTACCGAGCTGCTCGCTTTGTACCATACCCGGGTATCTACATAGAGCTCTAAACTGTAACTGATCCTTAAATGTTATAACTTACTTGAGTAGCTGGGCGATAGTGAAACTACAAAATGGATAAGCCTATAATTTCCACTTAATTCACTTCACAAAATAAATCCTTATGTAATCGAAGTTTCATATCCAATATTGCCTTCGCCATGAAATATACGCGTGCCAACCATCCAACTACATTTACACTGTGCACTGAATACTTTGCGTACCACAGAAGTTCATGAAATATTTTTTTTATTAAGGACACAACCTTATTCTACTTCATCTGCCACTTTTGTTGTCACCATTGGTGTCTTATTATTAACTTTCAGCACTTTTTAACTCATCTACATTCAACTAAATACCACAAGCACATAGCTACATATGTACATACATACATATCTACATATATATGTATGTATATATAGATATATATATATATATATATATATATATATATTTATGTATGCTTTATGCTGAGTGTTTCGTGCGCGTAATTCGCTTCTTGTCCTATCTTTAATTTGTAAAGCACATAATTTAATTTAGTCGACATTATGTACTTCACATTTTAAAGCCATCGCATTCCATTGTTTAGTTGCTATTTGCTTTGTTTCTTGTTTCTTACAGACATTATTTATAGTATATAATATATAAATATATGTGCATGTGTATGTATATGTATGTAGGTATGTTTTGGGTATTATATTTTTATTTTCTATTGTTTAACCATAAGTGAAAAAATGTTGGAATTTTCGCTTTTGTTTTGTTTTTGTATTTTTTTTTTTATTCAGCTTTGTGTTTCCGTTGCTTCTTTCATATTTATAAAGTAAATAAAATGAAAAAAGTAAACTGATGAGAGTGTGTGTGTGCGTGTTTGTGTGTATTCGTTATGCATGTGTATGCATGCAAGCTTGGCTTGGTTTAGTTACCTTGCTAATGTCCTTTGGCGCTGTTGGTACACCTGTTAATAGTGGCTGTGTGGCGGCTATTTAGTTTCTAGTGGCATCATTGTTGTTGGTTAAGTTGTATTTTTTGTTTTTTTTTTTGTTTTTGTTATACATATACATATGTATTCACTAGTACAGCAATACCTATGCTTGTTTGGGTGCAGTGCATACATTAACTTGTGTTTTATTTTTCGCTCACTGCTGATGCACTACTCTCATACCCGGTTGCGATTTGTGTGGGGTTATGCCAACTATGTTCTTTGGAAGTTTCCTTGTAGCATTGCTGTCTACAAGTCCAATGTATGTCTTGGAAACTAGTAAAACTCCACCTGGTCTTTGCCGCATTAGAATATCGGAAATGGGATCGGAAAGTATTCGATAGCTTTTATTCCAAATACAAAATATTCCATATAACAGTTTGGGGGTTCCAATTTCAGGATTGTCTGGTGATTAGATACAAATAATTTACCGATTATACTGCTCAAGGCGCACAGTCTGACATTCCCTGAAAAGTCATGGAGTAAAAATAAATTCAGAAACTTGTTAGAAGTTATGTTTGTTTAGTTTCACACTTTTCGCCTGAAAGTATGCTACAAAATACAAATTTCTATACTCGGCTCTATACAAAGATATTAAAAATAATCGAGATAGAAATGGACATATAAATGTATAACGGGTGTGCCATATACCGTTTGCCTTTTGAACTAGGACTTATTCGAGCTTTGAGATCTTCAATGACATCCTCGATTTGTCAAACGTTCGAAACATTACATTTACAAATGTTGAAGAGAACAACAAACATGGTTTTAGCACGATGATGCTACGTGCCACACGGTTTATAGTTTTTCGTTTTATAATTATGAAAATTACGAAAATAACACCTGCGGGTTGGGAGTTCAAGGGTGGCATGCCTGTCGTAAGAGTCGCTAAAATCTAATAGTTCTCGCGACAGTCAAGTCATTATACCGATACGATCCGGATTTTTATCCAGCCAAGGACTGGTACTCCCGTAACATTCCCCAAAACATATTGGATGACTGCATAAGTTCGTGCTCGGTTCCGCTGGATGCCGTTCGAATCGTTTGAGAGTGGCGTTCGTGAAAGAAATATATACATATTATATATCGTTGGAAAGGTGACAGTCCGAACTGTAAATCAAGCTTAAAAGACGCATGGAAGATGGACAACGAAAAAGATCATATGCGTCATATTATGTTATACGAGTTCCGCAAAGGAAAAACAGTAGGCGCTGCAACTGAAGATATTCGCGAAGTTTATTTGGACCGTGCTCCAGCACTCCGCACAGTAAAGAAATGGTTCGCGAAATTTCGTTCTGGAGATTTTAACCTCGAAGATCAACCTCGCAGTGGACGGCCTTCTGAGCTTGATGACGATGTTGAAAGGTGGATTGCATCCGATGAAAGTACTGCTGTGCATTTGGTGGGATATCCGAGGCGTGATCTATTTTGAGCTCTTGCCAGCTGGAGAAACGATCAATGCCAACAAGTATTGTCAGCAATTGGTCGAATTGAAGAAAGCAATTGATAAAAAACGTCCGATTTTGGCCAATCGCAAAGTAGTTCTTTTCCATCATGACAACGCCAGGCCACATGTTGCAAAACCGACCCTGGCCAAACTGAAGGAGATTAATTGGGAATTCATGCCGCATCCCCCATATTCACCCGACATTGCACCTTCTGATTATCATTTGTTTCGCTCGCTGCAGAACAATTTGAATGGAAAAAATTTAAAAATGTGGAATACGTCAAAAACCACCTTGACACCTTTTTCAACGAGAAACCACGCGATTTCTAGGAATCAGGCATCCGTAAATTGGTTGAACGTTGGGAGTGGATTGCCGAAGATGTTGATTAATAAAAGCGCTTTCTTCAAAAAATTTAAATTTTAGTTTGCACTTGAAATCGGGCACGAACTTATGCACTCATCCCATACTTTTGGGAATATTTTTGCCTTTACAACAACAACAACAACATATATATATATATATATATACATATATATATTTAACCGGATTTTGGCTCTTGCTTACTTATTTTTCATTAGTGTTGGTATCGGTTACGTTTGGACAGAGGTTGATGTCGTTGACGACGATGACTATAGCGTGATCATTGTGTCTCAGTGTTTTTGCATATTTTCACACAAAAGTTTTATTCTTTTCTTTAGGTTTTCCCTTTCATTTCGTACCCCAACGGCACTCCGTCAACGTCGTCAATGTTCCACACACACACACACATATGTATATATAATATATATACACATACATTCACATCCTACCGACATTTACATACCCCCTATTTGGCTATTTAGAGATGGTGCATGCTGCAGTAGCTTCTTACTGCGGCATGCCGCATTGCCACGCGACTCGAACTCGTTGGTGACTGACATTCTTTATGAATTGTGCATTATAATTAAAGCTTCCATCGTTTAAACAATTGTATAAATTAAAAAGCGTTTCAGTGCTTGTACTTGTACGCACATTGTGCATATACTATCATACATACATACATACAGCTGCAAATACATATGTACATATATGCACATCCATACTACAAACGTGCCTACATACCGTGATATGACTTTGATCACAGTTCTGTGTGCGGAGTGAAAAATTTCATACTGTTTTCGCAACTTCATTTGGCTCGTTTAATAAATAGTTTCATAAATAAATTATCGTTGAACACAATTATGTATAAAATTAATTAACGTCAGTGATTTTCTTTCACGCTTTTAGAGGCATACACTCATTTACACCATAAGTGAGTGTTCAACACCATGTCGAAATGTTACTCGCATGCTCTGACAAAGGAGAGTAGGAGGTGCTTTTTAAGCAATAGCAAAAGCAATTTAATAGACGGTGTGATTTAAAGCTAAATAATTGGCAGCCGCGCTAGCCGAGTGGTTAACATTGTGTACTGCCATTGTTGGAAGGCCAGGGTTCGCATACTGGTCCGATCAACATCTAAAAATTATAGAAAATTAATTCAAAAAAAAAAAAAATTAAGTTAAATTTTCTAATTGCGGTCGCCCCTCCGCAGGGTATGTTAAGCCCTCCGAGCGTATTTCTGACATGAAATAAAAGTCTCCTCATAAAGACCAGCCGCCGTTCGCAGGCGGCTTAGTATGTATAAACTGTAGATCCCTCCATTTGTTGGGAAAATATCAAGACGCAAAACCACAAAATTGGAGGAGAAGCTCGGCCGAAAATCACTTTAGCTGTTACAAAAGCATCAATTATGTATGTATATATGTCGAGTTCTTTTTGTTTGTAATGTACACGTACTTAAAAAAGTATTCCATATGAATGCTGGTGTTTCGTTGGGTGCAATCCTCGACACAAGTATGTCTGGTTATACGCCCTTCATTTAGATTATTTTATACTGTTAAGGGTAAAGAATGAATGAATAAAGCTTTAAGCTCAGCTAAATATTTATAATAATAAAATTGAAGAATTTTTTATATTCTCATCTTATAATAGTGAACGAACCAATAATTAAACTATGATTCCTCTTTAATTACAGTCCTTCATACATCAGCGAGCTTGGCGTTAAATGAAAGCTGGGACCCGGATGTCAGGTAATGTACTATCCCTTTTCACATTAGTTATAATTAAATTATTAATTTACCGCTAATCAAATATATATAAAAAAAATATTTAGAGACGACATGGAAATGATGTTAAACAAAATAGTTCCCGAAGGTCTGCCGTACAGGCACTCGTGCGAAGGACCCGATGATATGGTGAGTTTTTAAAATATTATATATCCATATGTATATATTATTAATGTAAATGAGGATGGAAATAAAAACGAATTTATTACTTACAGCCGGCGCACGTGAAAGCCTGCTTCCTCGGTAGTTCATTGACAATCCCCATAACTGATGGTAAGTTATCGCTTGGTACATGGCAGGGCGTTTGGCTATGCGAGCATCGCGATCAAGCGGGTTCACGCAAACTGGTTATAACACTGTCTGGGTGTCCGCGTGAAACGGCGCGCAGTCCGCTGTCGCCTGTATCACCAATCGCTTCGACATCCAGTTAGGGAAGGCCTCGCTCCACTCGCGATAGTCGGTAATCGCGGGGGAGCGACAATAATGACATCATTTCGTCGAGGAAATTAATTTTTAATAGAAATTTAGCTAATACCAAAATCAGTGCAACAACAACAACAACAACAACAAGAAAAACAGCGACGGAAGTAGCAGCAGCAGCAGCAGCAGCAGAAGCAGCAACAAGCAATGCGACTACTACTTGTGCGAAAACTACGACTAATTTAACTAATATAACTACGAACACGTTATTAAGTAATAGTAGAAGATTGTTAATGAAAAATCAATTACATTTAAATTTAAATGTAACGGAAACACTGAGCGTTGATAATGATGATAATGAAAGAGACTTAATGAAAGCAGCAGCAGCAACAGCTGTAGTATCTAAGTTTAAAAGGGATGGTGTTAATGTAGAAACCGTCACAACAGTGCCTCAACAACAACAACAACAACAACAACAGCAACAACTACTACTACAACCATATGAACATAAACAACAACTATTAGCAGAAAAAGAACAACTTAGAAAAGTATACAGTAAAGCGGAAGCAACAAGAGGAGGAGAGGTGAGAACCGCAGCAGGCGCAACACGAGTAGCAACATCGTTATCATCATCACCGTCATTGTTGAATTCATCATCAACGGCATTAGCTAAATTTAACCGAATCATCGATAATACAATGCCGGCAACCAACTATTATCAGCATCACTTGCCACAAGAGCAAATGTCCGAGAGCATGAAACATGCACCCGGCATCGGTACTGCGTCACCTGCAGTGCTGAGTGACGCATTACAGCAGCGATTAGCGCTCGTATATCCCGACATTGTCTCGACCGATTCGCAACCGAAAAAAATTAATTTCACAACAGCAACAGCAGTAGCAGCGGCGGCAGCAGCAGCAGCAGCAGGAACAACATCAACTACAACCGCACAAGCAGCGAAACCGAAAGCTAAAGTGAAAGGAAAATCTGCTGCAACCCATGACCGTTTACGCGTGACGCGTGCGGGAATGTCAGCGGAAGAGGAAGCGGCAAACTTGAAGGCCGCAGCTGCTGTGACAGCACCATCAGACGACGATAATCAAATGAAACGAAATGATGTGCATTATTTGTTGAAACAATTAAATAGTTTTAGTGATATAGAAGAAATAGAAATTGTTGATATGGAGCAAAGGCAGCGGCAGCTGGATGAGCAACAGCAGCTGGCACAGCAACAACAACAAATAGCCCAACAGCAACAATATATGGGCCATGGCGTGGACAAATCACACTCACCGACAGCGCAATCGCTTGTGATAATCTCGCCATCGTCGCTATCGCACAAAGGCATACGACGTTACGCCTCATTGCACCAACAACAGTGCACACAATACACGCTCGACAGCGACGAGGCGATCGATACCGTCGAGCAGCAACAATATTTGTTGCAACAATTCGACGACTACCTTTTTCAGTCCTGCCACTATTTGGAGACAAATTATTTTGCCGCCAATTATCGCACTGCCATGGTCGAGAGCAGCTCGCACGAGTTCCGACCATCGACGACGACGACGACAGGCACATCGGCAGCGTCTGTCTCATCGGAGCAATCGCTTGAGCTGCACGAGACCGAGCCGCCGAGCGTTATATGCAAGGCACCACCACCAGTGCCTGCGTCACCGCCTACAACTATAGCAGTGGCTGCAACTAAAACAACACCTTTGACTGATAACGGCGCTGCTGCTAGTACATCTGTAACGCCCAAACGTTATGGCATGCAGGCGCGCTTGACCAGCAGTGGTGTACAAACGGAACTCACCGCCACTTCCCTAACAGAGGCGTCGTTGGCCAAGAGCACAAGCAGCTCGGCCAGTTCCGAAGAGCAACGTCGTCGTGCGCCATTTTTCAAATGTTGTTACACACCCATAGATCGTTGGCGTGAGAAGCGTAGCGCAGCACACACGGCTGCGGCTGCACAGAAGCGTGGTAGCCGACAATTAGCGCAAACAAGCAACGTTTCCACTGCATTGGGTAGTGGCGGACGTGGTAGTGACACTGCCAGTGCCAGAGCCAGTGAGACCGTTGTTGTCGTACAACAACGTGCGCGCAAAAATGGTCATGCAGTCTGACAAATCGAGTGCGCGATGGAGTGTGTAGGCGGTAACGTCAGGTTGATTAGCAAACAATGCAAATATGTAGTCGATCAGCGCCGGTGTCTATTTGCGATATCAACAATTTTTTCTATTTCAAATAGGAACTTGGGATATTCAAGATTATACCATTGTATGTATATTCATCGAAATATCTTAAGTGGATTATTTGTTTAAAAGCGCAAACTTAGATGTTAAACGAGAAGATGGAAGATAAATAACAGGTGTTATTTATCGCCTGGAGTGAGTGTTATTGCGTAGCAAGCAGATAAATTCAAGATATGAATTGATGACGTAGCAAAAAATATAAAAGTAAAATAGATATCTTAAAAAGTGTTCTAAATGTTGAAGCTTTTTGAAAAAGCCTTTTAGTTATTATATGCATGCAAGCAGAATGTGAAAGAGTGCAATGCCGGTGCTCACACTGGCATATTTTGAATTAGAAAACTGCACACGCTAACCTCAAGGGTAACAAACAGCTGGAAATACACTGCGCTAAATAATATATTTAATGCATTTTAACGTTTTCTGACAAAAAAAAAATATTTTACATTTAACATTCCGGAAATTTATTAATTTTTTGACTACTTCTTTTAAGCTGATATATGATTTAAATTGAAATTTAATTTATTGGAAGTTTCATGCGAAAAAAGCGTGTGAACATTTTTAACTTAAAACAAAAATAAATTTCGATATGTTGTTTTTGTTCTCTATCACGAATTTTTTCACTTGAAATTCTCAATACAGCCGATTAATTTTGAATTACGCTATATTTTGGTGTTTTTTTTGTTTTAAAAAATGAGTTGAGCTCAAATTTTAGCAAATAATTATTAAAAATAATTTTAATATCATAAATAAAGCAATTTCAGTGAAAATTAATCACTTATATTTAATTAAAACTATGATTGAAACTTCCCCTCTTTGGCCCTTCTTATTTATAATAATCGTATGCCCCATATACGGGTCAGTGTATACCAATAGCTTTTGTTTTTGTTCTTATTCTGAATAGTAGCCATTAATTAATCACTTGTAAGAACACCGATTGTCATTACAATGCCTACACACACACACAGCGATTTAAGTGACTGCTATACACTGAACGAATACCGCACATAAATAACATACACATATACAAATTTAGTTTGCGAGCTTCAAAAAAATTGCATACGAGAAGCGAAAGGAAAACTAAATATACTAAAATAACGAAATGAAGGCATGATAACGTAAATAAGTATAAATAATAGCTTAATTTATATTTAATATTATATAAATTAAATAACAAATGCCGTCGGTAGGTAAAAAATGCAAAAGAAGAAAATACAGCAGCAGCAGCAGCAGCACATAGCATATTACACGAATGTTTACGAAAAAATACTTTACAGAATTAATATAATAAAAACGCGAGCGTTTAGTCTTAATATAATTAAATATAATACAGCAAATACTAAGTATAAGTAACTTTTTCTAAAACACAAAAGAAGTAAAACCAAAATATTAGAATCGCAAATTAAAATACGATGCAAAAAATAAAAAATAAAAATAAATGAAATACATTGTTAATGCATTAATCGCTAGAAAAATAGAAGCTACATAAAAGTGAAGAAAAAAAAAATAAAAAATAAAAATAAAAACTTACAAAAACAATACCATATGAAACGCATATTAATTATGTAAGCTATGAACTATAATAAGCGCATCAAATACCAGTAAATGATTTAATTAGAGAGCTTGTATAGTAAATGAGAAAGATCGAAAAACAAAAAAAAAAAGTGAAATAAAATAAAGTAAATAAATAATACAGCAACTAAATATATTGAAAAATAACGATCTAAAAAAAAAACAAAAGCAAATAAAAACAGCAAAATGTGTAGAAGTGAAATTTTAAAGCGCTAATTTTTTAATTTCCAAAACATTCTAGCAATAACTTTTTAGGTAATGCATATAAACTTACATACCACATATGAAAACGCGAGCAAGCTAAAGAAAGAAAAGCAAAGCAAAGCAAAAGTTAATAAAAAAGTAACACACAAGATACACCATGTCATGTAACAGCGTATGAAGCGCATTGTTATCATTGAAAGATTCATTAATATAAAAAATAATAATAATATTAATTAAAATTTGTCTTAATTCAGCGAGTATAAACAAAAAGGAAAAAAGTAAAAAAGAAAATATAATGATCCAAGTACCAGTTGTTAAGTTTGGGTTTATGATTATTCGAGTTTCGAGATGTTACGTACGACGCTGTTAATTTTGTTCGTTGATTTTTATATAAAACATACCTACATATAGTGCATATGTACATGAAATAAAATAAATATGAATTTAAATGCGTACGGTGTGCGAATATGATATGTATACATACATATAAACATACATACATAGATGAAAATTATATTTGAGAAATTAATTCAAAGGAATTGTTAAAGAAATTTTTTTTTGCTTATTTTGATTGCGCCAAAGGAAAAAAAAATGAATAAATAGATATGTATATCACAAGCAATTATTTATACAAACAAAATATTTATAGTAATTTTAAATTATTAATTTGATTGTTTTTTTTCGCTCAATTCACGTTGTAAAAGATAAATTTAGTCGGCGCTAAATGATTGAATTTGCTTACGTAAACGATGAGGGTACTATATATATATATATACAAGAGGACAAAAAGCAACTATGCATTAACACAAGAAACACTAACATACATGAATATATATCAAAAGCAAACTTGTCAATTTTGTTATGAACATTATTATTATTATTATTATTATTATTATTATTATATGAAATACTTGTATTGTATGTACTACAATAAAGACCAGAATTTCTAACGGCGTACATGTGAGCGATACATATATGTATGTATATACATATATATATTTGAGAAATTTTACAGTTTTTTTTCTTATAATTATTATCATTATAACGCATTCTCTTATATTAATGAACTATTCTTATATGTATTATCACTACTACTAATAAAACACGCATACACATACATATATACTCACAAAATGGGCAAATAAAAATGCGAAAAAATTCTACACAATAAAACAAAAAAAAAACTTAACAACAACAGCGCATTTTTTCTATTTTCCTCAAGATTATTGTGCGTTTTTTTTTTTTTTTTGGGGATTCCTAACCGCGAGATGATCAAACGAATGAAGAAACTTAACTGCTTTGAGTTGTGTTTAATAAAAACTTTATACAATTAAAAAAATTCCACATGCAGGCCGTTTTCATGCAGTTGTACCGTATTGAGGAATCTCACTTGTATGTAGGGTTAAATTTTAGGTGTAGATTAATTTCATTCTTCTATTTGGCATAATCGGTGTTGGTTTAATATCCTTACATTTGTTGCCAATGCCATGAGTGCTTTTCTACTGAACTTCTTACAACGATGGATATTTTCTTTGTACAAAAACTAAGTTAAGAAATAAGTTACTTTCTTTAAATACCTTTTTTCCAACAAAATTAATTGATTAAACTATACAAGATTTTTGCAGGATATATGCTAAAACTGTTATGTGCTAGTTAAGAGCTAAAGTTTGAGGTAAGTACATATATACTTACAGCACCGGCGTACTGGAAAAGTTGTTATCAAACACATACACACATGCGAAAACCCAACCCCACTTGGGTTGGCAAACTGGAAAGTTCTTGAGTTTTAAACAACAAATCTCAACACCGGCATAGGAAATTGTGTTATTTACTTAATCAAAGAAAAATATTTTAAATTTATTTCTAATGCGTATCATATATCAAGCAATTCATGAACACAGTTCTTCCAAATCAAAATGACAGACACTACACTTTATACATTGAATATGATTATTTATAATAATATTTTTTGAATATACACAATAAAAAAAAAATGTACTTATATAAAAATTTGGCTTTAAAAAATAGTGTGGCTAAATTTCATTGTATAGTGGACTAAGTAAAGTGTAATGATAATATGAGGTTGATGTATGTCATTAAAAAGCTAATTAGTGAATTATTAAATAATTATAATAATAATAATAATAATATAATTAAATATATATAATTGAATTAAAACCAAACAAATGCCTTTTAAATACTTACATACAGACATAGATGCATTATGAACAGTTTAATCATAATATAAATAAATAGGAAAGAAAAGTTTCATCATAACAATATGTATGTATATTGTCTAATTAATTTTAAAATACTATATAGTTCAAGTTAATGCAATTGTGTAAGATTCAATAATTAAAGGCTGGTACTGGGAAGTGGTCTTCTTTCTCTGTCCTTACGAGATTGCTACTCACGAATCTTAGCGTTGCCATGCAGAGTTTCGCTTTAATAAAAATGAAAACAACAACAAAATATTCGGTGTTATTGGAAAGTTTATGTGAAAAAATTGTGAAAAAATTTTTAATGTAGAACAAAAATAAATTTCGATATTTTTTTTCTCCCTATCAAAATTTCCACATGAATCTTTTCACATAAAATTCCCAATAAGACCGATTATATAATATTTAGAGGGCTGCACTTTTAATACATTCTAAGTGTTAGAAAAAAAGTGTTAAGTGACTCTGCAGCTGACTGTTTTATTCGAAAATTCTTCGTTAATTATAGTAAAAAAAATTTTACACAAAGTCATAAAGAACAAATGTCGGTTATAAAATCGAATAGATGTACTTACTATTTAGCTTACTTTTTTCTTGAATTTTACGACTTTTTATGAACAGTTTAACGAAGTAAGTTGGTAATGTTGGAGCAGGATACCCACCTTTAATTATTGAATTATAATAATTGTTTATTTGTTGATGAGTGAAATAGTTAATTAGAAATTTTGTTATTTAGTATACATATATAAATATGTAGAGTTATATATAATATAATTTATTAACGAATATGGTTGTAATTATTAGATATGTTTAAGTGTTTAGACAAAAAAAATATTCCTCTTTATTTAATTAAATGCAATAGAAATGTAAGTTTATACTGTTTTTTTTTTTGCTAAACGTTCATGTTTTCCATAAAATACTTAATTTTTTTTGTGTTTTAGAATAGCAACAATCCTTTATTGGCTCGATTTATTTCCCTGGTTTTGTTACATTTTTATAATTTTGAAAATTTTGAGCTTAAACTTAATGTATGGAATATAGCAATAATACTATTGCCATCGTACATACATATATGCATAGTTTGTTTATTATATGTATGTACGTAATAAGTTTAATATAACCATGCAACATTTCTGCCCTTGTATTGTTCGCTTTGTTTTTATCATTATTAATGGAATCCTTCGACCAACCATTTTTGATTATATGATAAGTACAGCAATAATAATCTCACAAATTATTGTTTTGGTGATAGAATGTCCAAGCACTTGTCCTTCCGTGTGCGCTCAAATGAGTAGCACACTGCTGGTAGGGCGCACCTCCGCACCTTATGGCGTGCTTTCGACCACACGGGTCGCTGTCCTTCCGGCAGGACCTAATAAATAGAGTAATTAAATTAAAAATGATAATTTACTATTTTTTACATAAAATAATTTTGAATTATTTTGCATAAATTGAATAACTTGAAACGAACGAATTCTCTCACACTTTTTGTTGCATTTAAAAAAACTTGATGATGCGTTGGAATACTTTGTGTTCTGTTATATTAAAATATTTAACATAATTTAACAACAACAAAAACTAGTGTTTTACCTATGTTTATGACGGCTTAATATAAACAAAGGATTCTTTCTTTTTTAATATTTTTATTTTAACTGACATAACCAAAAAATTGTAAATTTGTGTGTAAATGATAATTTAAAAGTAAATGTAAAAGAGATAAAAGCTTTAAATAATTTAATCAACAATTAATTCGATGTCATTGTTGTCTGTAGATTAGTTAACAATAGTAAACTTGATGATTAAAAAAATTTCAATAGTTGAAATTTGTAGATATTAAAGCATAATGCGTATAACACGTAGGTATACATAATTAATAAACGTTTAGATAATATGCGTTTACTTTTTTATTATTATATAATAGTATCAGTTGTAGTTTAGCACTTAAGTAAACGTCGCCTAATTGTAAATTTTGCTATATTAAATCATACATATAAAAATAGCATAATTCATTAATTACGATTAAAAAAAAAACATACGTATATAATAGAAATAAATTTAATAATTAATTTTTTAGTAAATATAATAATGATACTACTTATAATAATAACAACGAAAATAGTAATATTAATAATAATTATAATATAACGCTTATAACAACAACATTAGTACTATTAAGACTAAAAATAACAATAATAAAAATAATTATAATAAAATAATAATACTAGCGATTATAATTATAATAAGAGAATAATAATGATAATAATAATTAATAAAAAGTAATAATATTAGTAATAACTAAAATAATAATAATATCAGTAATAATTGTAATATGACACAAATAATAAAAATTATAATAATTTTAAATAATAATTAATAAAGCTAATAATTAATCTTAAAATTACCATAATAATTAAAATAAATATAGTAACAATTATAATAAAAATAAAAATATTTATAACAATAAAAATAATAACATTAGTAAATATTGTAATACGATAGTAATAATAGCAATAATAATAATAATAATAATAATAATAATAATAATAATAATAATAATAATAATAATAATATTATTATTATTATTATTATTGCTATTATTACTATCGTATTACAATATTTACTAATGTTATTATTTTTATTGTTATAAATATTTTTATTTTTATTATAATTGTTACTATATTTATTTTAATTATTATTATTATTATTAATTATTATTATTATTATTATTATTATTATAATAAAATAAAAATAATAATAATAGCGATTATAATTATAATAAGAGAATAATAATGATAATAATAATTAAAAAGTAATAATATTAGTAAGAACTAAAATAATAATAATAATAATATCAGTAAAAATTGTAATATGATAGTAATAATAGCAATTATAATAATTTTAATTAATGAAGTTAATAATTATTCTTAAAAATACCATCATAAAAAAATAGAAATATGGTAACAATTATAATAAAAATAAAAATATTTATAACAATAAAGATAATAATATTAGTAATAATTATAATATGACACTAATAATAGCAATAATATTAATGATAACTACGATAGTAAAAATAAGAATAATAACAAAAATTATAATAATAATAACAATAATATATAATAATAATGACAAAAGTAATAATAGCAATAATTATAATAATAAAATTGATAATTAATCTAATAAATATAGTAATATAATAAATAAAAGTATAATAGCAATAATAATAATAATTATAATAATAAAAAGAATAATAACAAAAATAATAATAACAATAACAAGATGAATTATAATATTAAAATAACAATTAATCTAATAAATATAATAATAATAAACAAAACTATAATAACAATTATAATAATAATACGAATGATAATAATAATTATATTACTTAATAATAAAATAGCAAACATACTATTGAACTGAAATGAGTTTCAATTTGATTGTATAATACGAAATCTAATATTTTGGACTAAACAATTACAGAAACTCGTTGGCTAGTGTATAAAATAAAATAAAAACATATATAAATCTATATAACCGTTAATCTAACAACGCTTCTTTACACACATATTTACACAAAGAAAAACTTTATATGTATGTACACACATACATTTATTCATATGTATTCGAGAAAGTCATGATTTTCGCTTTAACGCCATCCCCACCCAATCTCCACTTTCATAACATATCCATATATACACATTTAGACACCAGCGCAGAAGAAATATGAGAAAAAAGGCATTTTCTTACAATCTCTTTTGCTATTTTAATGTTTTTTATATAAACTAAGTTTATAACGCTATTCATAAATAAATAAACTATTGTAATAATGGAAATATAATACGTATAACACTTGTAATAATACCAAAAGTAAAGTTTAAATAAAAAAATGTAATCCTGCCAAGAAACAATTGACCTGCTTGAAGAAAAAAACCCGCTTTTGCTAAATAATAAATTAAAGAAATGAAAAATCAAATATTATAATACAATACACATAGTATAAAAGTATTTAAAGTATTTGTAAAACTTCGATACGATTTTGAAATATGCTGAATTTCAGTAGCAAAGCAAATATACAATACTAAAAAAAAAAATAAAGAAATTTATAAAAAAAGTGTAAATTTTAAATAAAAATACACAATTCCAAGACACGCTATGCAATACATACATACATATATGTGTACACACACTAGCCATACAAGAAGAAAAAAAAAACAAAAAACAACAAACAAAGCTAATCACCAAAACGGAAGACTTTTGCATATTTGATATAACTTATGTATTATATATACATGCATACATATGTACATACATGTGTCCAAGAGTGTGTAGATAAATTCATATTTGAATGTTATTTAAAAGATAAAATGTAATTAAAAAACAAAAATGAGAAGAAGCAGCACGAAGCAACAAGGTTTTTGAGTAACACCCAAAAAAAAAATATATATATATATATTTTTTTCAACACAACAGATTCTTTTTGCTAAGACAATAGTTTTGTGAAAATTTTCTGGAGAACTATAGATATTTTTTAGTATAAAATATATATAAAAAATAAACATACACATATACAAATTACGAATGTTGTTAAATTACAGAAAATTTTTATCAAGTGAAAAACAGGCAAACAATTTATATTTTGTTAGACTTGCGATAATGGTCCAAACATTTTTCCTTTTCATTACAAATACTCATTTCATTTACAGCTTAAAACAATTATATTTTTTTATTTCTGTATTTTTAAGCCAGTGTGGGTGCAAATGAATAATCCTAAACGTAAAAAGAAGCACAAATTTATTAAATATAAAAAAACCTTATACAAATTTTATAAAACTCATTTGACATTTAATACATCAGCAATCACAGTCCAATTTTAGATGCTTGTATAACTCTGTATAACAAATAAAATGAATAAAAACAAAAAAAAAAACAATTAGCAATACAAAATTAAATGAATATGAAAAACAATGAATGTATATACATATATACATATGCAAATTTAGTTGACTCCTAATTTGTTTAAACAAAGAGAAAATTGCAAGTTAATAGCAACATAAAAAAAAAATAAAAAATAAATCTTGGAAAAAGTATATTGAATTTAATTGGCAAATATTTTTGAATGATTCAAACCTGTAATTATTACTTTTTGACACTTTACCTTTGTCCTTATAATTATTATTTATGCTAAATTTTCGACTTAGTCTTATTTTTCTAGAGTAAACCGTTTCGAAAAAAACTGTTATTTTATAGACACACAGCACACACAAACATAGATCCGCATACTTACTACACACATACATACATTTATGGGAATTATAAATATAAGAAAAGTATACAAACAATTAAATGCAAAAAAAAAAATTAACATTCATTATAAATAAATAAAAATACGAAAATGCAAATGCAAATATTTAATCATGTAAATAACAGTTAATTTATGTACAGTAAAATTTGCATATAACAACACTAATGCACATCGCCATGCCCACAAAGCTACTCACGATGCAACTAGTATGTATGGTGTGCGTTTGCGCGTAGCGAATATAAATATACATTCATATGCAACAACTTTGTACTAAATATACATACATACATACATACATTTGTATACATATACCTACATGTATATATGTATTTATATAAATGCTTAAATACTCATTTACATAAATAAAATATAGTGCATTAATAATAAAATTACTGAATTTTAATTAAAACTATAAGATATGAACAAAAACAAAAATAATATTTTCTTTGCCGAGTCCTGCAAATCCATATGCCTAAGACACATTATTAATAATATAACTTAAATAAAATACATACTAGTACAGTTATAAATATACTTGATTATGCTATTTGTACTTACATACATTTAATATAAACTCATTGATGGTGGCAAATCATCAGCGAATCTTTAGTGGAAAATATCAAGGCATAACTAACACTTGCATGCAAAATTTTGTCAGTAACATGCTAAGTAAATAATAATCAATTTCGGATCAATAAATAAATTTAAAGTATGTATACACTAAAAAAGTTCAACATTACATACACTCAAGTATATAATATATATATATAAATATATATATATATAAATATATATATATATAACGAGATTAAAAAATTGTATAAGCGACAACAAAAACAAGATAATAATGATAATGAAATGAAATAGTAAATAGATCATCTTAAAAATAAAATTATTAAAAATATTAACGAAAAATTTCACTAAATAGTGATTTGCCTTTTATTTACATTTCTATTTCTGGACAGGGCTGGCAATGCGGAATACCAATACGTCAATAAAACCTACAACAAATATGCATTAACTGTGTCGAAACGGCTAAAATCCAATTGAAGCGAAGTTATCTTCATCGGTTATTAAGCCAAAGTTAAATTGAATAGGAATCTAATATTCATAGTTACAATATATCAATTTTTTATTATAACAATTTAAATGCTTTGCAAATTATTTTTTTTTATTTCTTCTTTTTTGTTTGTATCAAAATAACAATAAATAATTAAATTTCAAAAATTGATACATTATCACTGTATCGAGCGGTTAACAGTATCGAAGGTTTCATTTTTGTGATCGCTAACGTTTGGACGAGCTTCGTACGTGCATATTGTTACACCATGGTAATGAGCTTCGCTAAATTCGCCACGTAAGCCTTTTAAAGAAAAAAATTACTTTTAGTTTCCAATAATATTGCATGCTCTTAACAGAAATTACCAATATAGTATATACGTGTTGCATCATCGCCAAAATTAGAGGGAAAATGTAAAGATAAGTGGTGAACCGAAGAGAATGTAACCACCCTAGAAGGGAAAGGTATGGAAATGATTATTTTTTAATATAAAAAGGAATTATGAACACATTAGATAGTGTAAGATTTGATATACTTACTTTGGTGAATATTCAATTTCTCCTCGTGGGTCTCTCGACAAGTCAAATTCTTGGTCGGCCTTGCCGCAGACATCATCGAATGTCATTTTGGCTCGATTCTTGAAACTTTATAAACGAACAATGATATTAATGTAAAAATATAGTTGAAGTTCCTTCTACTTACAGTCTTACTTTATTGGGATGTGTGTTGTCGTTAGCCCCGACAACAATTACGCCTTTGAGTTTAATGTTTCCGGTAAATGGTATATTGAAAAGCAACTCCTCATCCGCATCACTTTGTACATACTAAAGAAGAAAATGGTAAGATTTTGTAAGCCATAACACAGTAATTTTACTTACTTCCGTGTGATCCAAGCGATTTTCATATGCTTTAAAGACTTTCTTGCCGGTGCCTTCGCTCTCCTCATTTAGGCACTCCAAATTGTCTAAGTCAATTTTCTTGAAGAGAGAATATTCGATCCCCATCTCCAGTGCATGATCAATATCCGTGGCTTCGTGACCACAATCTTGGCCATGATTGTGTGAATGTTCGTGAGGCATTGTGGATTTAATACAGTTTTTAATTTTTGCCAAAAACTACTAATCACTTTTCTTATAAACAAAATTTTGCTTCTTCGGTGAGCACCATTCACAATAATTACATCACAGCTGATTGAGAATAGTGCAAGGAATTTACACATGCAGGTACACGACTACTTTTCAATTGAGTATTATGGTGCTAGTACTCATATACGTAAGGTACTGTATGTCATCCGATAATAAATGCTATGGCATCGGCATTGTGATACTTAGACTTTTCGGGAGTAGTCGAAATAATTTTATCACATATATTTGTGTTGGTTACATATAAACGGCGGAAGTAGATGTTGTTGTTGTTGTTGTCGCAAAACTTTTGCCCTCAGAAGTATTTTTTTTTTGGGAATGTTGCAAGTGTGACGGTTCTTTGCCGGACAAAAATCCGGGTCGCTCAGGAATGATGGCTCGCTGGTCGCACTATATATTGGATTTTAGTCGGCTCTTACGACAGGCATACTTTACCGTGGGAAAAACTTTGAACCTTTACCCCGCAGGGATAGATGACAGTTGATAGCAGTTGGTGCTGTCATGTTAAGGGCAGGGCAGGTTAAACTCCTACTTTTCTAGACTCGACCTCAACACACCCAAAGTAAGTGCTGCATGTAGCCACAACAACAACAACAAACCTGCCAACTATGAATCATGTGCATCTAAATCTAGGGATCAAAGCAAAAATTCTGGACGTAGTTTTGGACAAAAGACTGAACGCAAAATTCTACATTGGATATGAAAAAGACCTCCATCGTTCTCTACGCATTGTAAGAAATTTTGCTGAAGCTTTAAGTTTTGTAAAGAACCATCTGTTGTTAGACGATTTATTGTTTTTGGGATCGCAGCATGGTGGTCTTCGTTAAGCAAAATGATACACGTTAACCTTTTAAGCAAAAATGAAAGATCAGCGATGCTTAGTATAAGTGGTGCGCTCAAAGCTCTATATCCTAGCAATGGCTTGGGTTATCAGGCAGCAGCACTGGCCACTCTTCGCCTAAGGGAGCTAAATCGGTGGAACCAACCACTCAAAAATTGTTGAAGTGTTCTATTTCATATCATTGTCACCAACACTCTCCCGCACTGCTTCGATTTGTCTTGGCGTGCCCAACGGGTCCTGTTTCCCGGAATTTTTCAATTAATCTCTTCACAGTTGGTGTAGTTACAACACTATTTTGACTATATTTTGTAGGATTTTTTTAGTCGAGACTCCCAATAAACTTGGTTGTTTGCATTGTAGTGTTCTCTGACTAAAAATAGGGAAAGACCTCTCCGAGCTGTTCGGTACCAAACGAGGTTTCAGACAGATTGACTCTTTGTGGTATGATTTCTTCTATTTGATGCTGGAGAGAATAATAAGAGCTGCAGAGCTGAATAGAGAAGGTACAATCTTCTATAAGAGTATACAACAACTGGCGTACACCGATGATATTGACATAATCGGCCTCAATAATACCGCCATTAGTTCTGCTTTCTCCAGGCTTGATAAAGAAGCGAAGCGAATGGGTCTGGTAGTGAACGAGGACAAGGAAAAATAAGCCCTCTCTCTGCGAACGAAAACAAAACTCTACAAGTCGTTCATCATACCCGTCCCAATGCCAATAGAGAAGAATAAGAAGAAGAAGAAAAAGAAGAAGAAGAAGAAGAAGAAGAAGAAGAAGAAGAAAGCAGTAAATGGCTGAGAGGTTAAATTCCAAGTCATAATTAATTTGCAAATGTAATTTGACATGGTGGAAAAAAGCAGTGCTGCCAAAGTTTGTAAATGTAACCTATGTGCCAGAATACCAAATTCGATTTCGTGTGCTAAAAAAAAATTACTGAATTTACTTCACCGGCAACAGTGGAATACTCGTAGGCATAGTAGTAGGCCCATGATCACCACACTTTCCACAGAAAGGAAAAATTGGGTTTTAGTTTTGTTTATTATTACTTAATGTTTTGTTTTATTATTAACAAACTATCGAATTTCGTGTTAATATAAAATTGTTTACTTAATATTGCTATAGTTATAAATTCTTGTCACAATCAGAGATAATCTCCATCGCACATTTTCAGATTCCCATTCGATGTTGCCAGCACAATTTTTCTTCTATGATCGAATAAGTTAAATGTGTGTTTGTATTTTTTTTTATTTATTTCTTTTGAGTATTTTTGCTTATTCTTCAACCTTTCTAATTGTTTTAGCATTTTGTTTTGTATACGTTTATGTATGTATATGACGATATGTTAAAGTTTTTTTGCGCCTAAAGTTATTTGCAGAATTTTTTAACTTCATACATTTCTCACTTCCGCCTTTCAAGTACCACTACTATAGTTATGTATGTAACATGTGCTGTATTTAGTACTATTCATTAGAGAAGTCAATTGAAATACTAATGCGAAGAACAATGAAAGATTCACATCTACTGAAGGAGTTTTTTTTGACCAACTTTTTTTTTCGTTTTAATTTTCATTGAATGTTTCTCTCTTTTTCAGAGATTTCCATTTTTTGCTTAATTTTAAGTTCAAAATTTTCAAATTTTTTGTTTAATTTTTTTTGTTTGTTTAATATTTTCTTAATTTCTTTTTTTTGCTTATGCTTGGACTGTTTTGTTAATTTTTAATATGTATGTATGTATATTTTGTTGCAGTATACTTTTAAATTTCACTCTTCATTTAGTTATTTCTCTTTTTCATCTCTCTCCATCCAGTTTGTTTTTTTTTTTTTGTAATTATGTAATAAAATACGCACGTCACGTCAACTCACAGGATTTAGAATAAAAAATTTACAAACTTATATTAAAGCAGATTTAAACAATAGCATTCAAATAACAAAATATAAATCAAGCTATACACAGTGGCGTCAAAGTGATCCGACACTCTGCTCCTGCTTGGACCACATTCCCATACACAAATTATACGTATGTTTGTATATATGTTTGTATGTACGTATATTCCAAAAAATATAACCTCTAATACTACGTATCTTTCGGCTACTTTGGCATTCGTATGTATGCATATAAGTATGTATGTATTTAGCCAATGTAAAATAAATTGAATTATATTCATTTAGATCTATTGTGGAAGTTCAAAAATCTGGACGGGTAGTGCCTTCGGCGTTATAATCTCATCATCGAATTCATCATCCTGATCACCAATTATGTAATCACCATTTCGTTCTGTAAGCACACCAAGTCAAAATAGTGTTTGAAGATAGTGTAAAACAACAACTTGAGCAAGCGTAAAATACGTGTACTTACGTCCACCACCGCCGCCACTGCCATTGGGATCAGTTCTCGTTTTCGTCGACTTCGAAACATATTCACGCAACAGATGGGCATAAAGTATATCATCTATGTAAAACATTGTTCCCAGATTATAGACGAAGACTTCGCTTTCCGTAATTTTGGCGTTATTAACACTCGTTGCATTGCTTCCTGGATTGCGTGTGATTTTAATATGTCCGCCACCGATGGTTTCGAACACTTCATTGTCACGCAGATCGCGATCGTACAAGCGGCCGCGTACAAAGTGATTTAGTAACATTTTGATGCCGCGTGGTGAGGCCTTTTATAATAAAAAACGAGATATTAAAATGAAAAAATTGAAAATACTCTTGTAATTTATACCATAACATCATCGGACAGTCGATCAAAACCGAGTCGTTCGAAAGCTCTGTCTTCTGGTACGAAGAACGTATAATTGGCGCCGGAGACGTGTGGTGCGATTTCAGCATTATTCAAGTATCTATGGAGAGAATGTTCAAATTGTTAATTAATATTATTATTGGAGACAATTTCACTGACCGGATTGTCACTTTGAGTTAAATCTAAAAAACTAGTAAATATTAAGAAATATCACAAAACTCTCCAGCCGATCGGAAGCGGTCGTATGAGCTAATTTGGTCAGCCAAAATTGCGTAAGCGGTTATCAGCTTCAGGAATTACCCCAATTACAATGTCGACTTCGGAATCCAACGCAGAATCACTCATGTTAAAATGTGGTACTTTGGGCTGAGTAGGCAATAGGCAATAGTAAATTTTTCTCTCGACAAAGACCAAACTCTATAATTCCTTCGCTGTTGCTGTTTTTGGCTATCGAATCTCTCTCAGGTGCAGAAGAAAAAAGTCTAATTCACCGAGGTCATTGAGCAGGAGGTACAAAAAACAGACTGTTTCGAAGGGGTCGGACCAGAGGGAGAGTGGTGTTAGATGAGTGGGTTTTAGAGAGCATACAAGGGGTGGTTAGTGTCTTACAGGCAGAACACACAAACTCTGGGCAGTTATCAAGTTTGAAACTTAACTATGCAAGTATTAACCGGGTCTCTCGAAGCAATTTTTAGCTACTCTTGGTGAATAGCGGGTCTGTCAGTGTGCCAACACTTTTTTCTTTCCCCAGGTGCTGCCGCCTGGTGATTTGAGGAAGTGAAGAGGTGGAGAGGGTCGCCGAGGATTTCGTTCGTTATAGTTGTAGCTGTAGGAAAGGTTGGTGAGATAACAGTTCACTTTTGAGCAGAGGTTATAAATATCCTTGTCAGACGCAAATATCGAGCAGATGAGATCAAAAAAACAACCTTTGGTGATGAAGGGAGCTTCGAAATGTAATAATTATACAAACGCGGGGAGAACGAAACCCCTTGTTTGATTTTATTTAGTTTTGACATTTGACTTCGAAACTCTGCCCATGACCTGCCGATCACTTAGGTAGTGCATGGTCCACCTCACGCGAGGTCTTGAAATCATGAACTATTTGGATGTTTATGGCATTAAGTGCGTTTGTGGTGCCGTGCACTTGGAAACCACGATGATATACTATTGCTAGCTACGCTTCTAGGGAAAGGAGAGACTGTCTTCAACATCGAATAAGTTGACATTAGGAGCTCTCGATGGGTATGATTTGCAACTGATTTTTGGTATTTTGAGCATTAGTAACTGGGAATACCGCAGACGATGGATATTGAATCGATTATGTTGGTCAGGTGTGTGCTCGAAAAGATTAACATCGGACCACTATTTATTTGCTATCTCTAGACTTCTACTTGTGCTCTGTGCGCTTGCCTGCTTGGCAATGTGGGTATTCATTATAACTCGGAGAGTGTGAAAGTTGCCGAAAGTTGGCGAAGGAAGTGTTACACATTTGTATGAGAGACTGAAGGTTTCCTGTACTATGTGTCGTCCCATTTTATAATTCCGTCCGAGAGCACAAAGAGTAGCTGCCTTTAAGTTATGCGCTTGATATCACAAAACTCTTGGGGCTTATAAGCAATACAGAAGCTTCATTAAAACTGTACCGAGTGAGGCTTCTTGTAAGTTGACAGGTTTCCTTGATCTAGTACTACACTTGTAGAATTACAGCTCGTAGTGATGCTATGACTGTTTCTCTCAAGCTACACAAATCGATCATCGTTCCGGTTATACTACTTTCTGACATACAACAACATTGACTTTTTTCAGTTTTCAGAGAGGTTTTGGCTTTGCGTATTAGCTTTCGCAAGTATCGTTTAATTGAATGGTGGTCTACGTTTGAGATGTACGGGGATAGACAAAAATTTTCACGTTTTGAAGGTTTTCGATGCTGCACCTGTTGGTGGAAGCAGGGAGAAACGAAGGTACAGAAAGACCTGCCTTCTTATTTTCTCTTCTATTTACACATATTAGGCTGAAACCTCAACAAAGATATTATCTATCAGTTTATTCTATCTAATTTTACTAAAAATAATTCCACACTTTGTATGTGCTTTATGATTACCTCGTGATTTGACTAAATCTGGGATCACGTTCCAAAGCCAGGAATGAGTGTGATAGAAACTGAGCACCAAACCAGGGGAAAGCAAGAAGTGGTGGTGTTTCTTTATCCTTGTGCATCTGTATTAATTATAACCGTTATTAATACATATATACGCCAGTGATATATTATATAATCTAAAACTTACCTGATGCAATTTGGAAACCACTGCCTCAGACACAAATAAAACCTCTGAGATAAGGAACACCTGATTGCCATTTAACAGTGCATGATCTGACATAATTGAAACATTGTTCACCGTTGGATTGGCTGTAAGAGCAAGAGAACCGAGATAATTCCACAAACTTACATACTTGCACACATATAACAAAAAGCAAATAATAATGAAAATAAACAAGGCGATTGTACTTACGATGTCCGCGGAATACCACATTCTCACCGCCCATCGTTCGCACCACCATCTTGTCGGCGTTCTTCACTTCGGCCATGCGCAAGGGATGCTGTGTGGGCAGGAAATGGTTACGCAACACACTTTCGGTGAATTCATGCACACTGAATGGATAGAAACCCCAGTCGATGGGATGCCAACGTTGAAAGGCATTATCGGACGGTATGAGTATCGTGTAGGTGCCATCGTCCATTATCTGTGTGAGATTGCTTTTGGACAGGAAATGCTGAAAAACTTTGGTGCCACTTTTCATGCTGTTGAGAAAGGACATAAGTGGGCTGGATTTCGACTCTTTTAGTATGGGCTCGATTTTGGTGTGCGTTGTGGTGATGTTGCGCATCTCCAAACGCTGTGGTTCATTGTAACGGCTATGGGTGGAATGATAAAGAGAAGAGAATGTGAGAAAACTTTCAACAATATGTATGTATAAATATCTCTCCTTTTCAAAAGTGTGCATTCTGTAAGAAGTACTTAAGTAGATATTTGTATGTATGTAAGTATGTATGCATATGTTACCTATTCGAGTCTTGTATGTTGCGTTTGGAGTAGGGCGATTTCCGGTCACCAAGATAGCCGTCAATGGCGATTGCCATTAAATTCTCATTCAAACGTATTTTGTACAAAATGAGATATCCGTTTAATAACCAAAGGCTATTTTGTGATTTCTCCACTTTATATAAATGTATTTTGTGCCCATTGCCATTGCCATAGACCTCTTCATCGCTAAAGTTATCCAAGACTTTTCCTGGCACCAAGTGCTCCAGCATGAATTCTTTTAGGCGCGGCTTTTCAATCGTACGCACATCGATTTTCGGTATAATCATTGTAAATTGGGTATCTGTTAAGGATATGTTACCATTTTGAGTATGTCTGCATTATGAATTTAAAATGTTTATAAAGAAATTGTGAAAATTAAAAATTTATTTTATTATTTGAGTACACTATATGAGTTTCTCGGCCTTATGGTTTTTTCAGCGTTTATAACTTCAACCATCGCCTCTAAATATATTTGCTCATCAAACGGTGGGATCTGCTGTCTCTACGATTATGTCCGCTCCGAATGTTTTTTCGAAGTACAACAAACCACGTATCAGTAAATTTTAAAAGTTAGGAAAGAGCTACTGCAGCATTGAGAACAGCAACACGTTATAGAGCTATAGGAGAGAAGCCACTCAGTTCAAACATGTCATACGAACAATGACCCCCGTTTTTATACCATTTAAAACTAGAGCAGATAACGACAAATTGAAGAGTGAAGCACGAGGCAAGTGCAAAAAAAAAAGAACGAAGTCCAGATGCGTGGGTATGAGAAGCTGGCCCACAAGGCTAGTGCTCGGATTGTAGGAAAATACAAAAGGTTTCTAGACGGAAGAATATTGTAGGGCACAGAGGGGTGGGACACAGAGGGGTGATCTAGTGGCTAAAGCCTAGAGTATATAGAATTTGTGGAGGGTACACTTCTCCAGCCTGCTGAATGACTGTGAACACTAAGAAATGGTGAACCCAAATCAATGACTATGCAACAGATGTTTCATTTGTCGACTATGAAGAAGTTCGACTAACCAACATCCGCTTAAAAAGCAGCAAAGCAGCTGGAGTTGACGGACTAACCGGCAGAGCTAATCAAATATGTAGGTGTAGAGCTGGCAAGGTGCATGCATCTGCTATTTTGTAGAATATGGTCAGATGAAAGCTTGAACTTAAGTGTGCCCAATCCGCAAAAAGGCAGATTCCACAGTCTGAGCCAATTATCGTGGTATAAGTCCTTTCGAGCATACTGTGTGGAAGATTGCAGCCTTACGTGAACAAACTGATTAGAACTTATTGGTGTGACTTTATGTATTGAAGCCGCAGAAGCGATTTTCGACCGAGCTCTTCCTACAATTTGTGGTTTTGCGTCTTGATGTTTTTCCAACAAATGGAGGGACCTACAGTTTATACTAATCTGCCTATGGTTTTTTATCAGAAATACACTAGGAGGGGGTTGACATTCCTTGCGGAAGAGCGACCGCAATCAGAAAACTTAACTATTTCCTTTATTTGACTTTAGACCTGGTAAAATCACTATTCGCCTGATATTTACTAAGCACTTAATTTGGGAAAAGACTCGTGAAGAGACGATCGACATACACCACCTATTCGTCGATTATAAAGCTGCTTTGGACATCAAGAAAGGTGCTCTCTCTACGCCACTATATCTGAATTTGGTAAGCTGTCTCTAGGCAACAATAGAATCGCAGTTAGAATTAAGATGGACTTCTCCGATACCAAACGAGGTGTCAGATAGGGTGATTTCTTCCACGTGATCCTGAATAATAAGAACTGCAAAGGTAAACAGACAAGGCATAATATTTTACAAAAGTGTACAACTACTGAACGAGGTTAAGACGAAATATCTGCTGTTGTCAAATAAGCTGTCGACGCATTTGTGTTCAGGCAGCAAGAAGGTCCATGATCTTTGATAGAAATTTTATATGGGAAGTTAATTACTTCACGCAAACCATTGCAGTATTGTCATAAAATTGAGGAGATCACAAAAAAAAATCTTTAAATATCTTCTGTACACGCTCAAGATACTTCAATTTTATTCAAATCGAAAAATTCCTGCAATGGATTTTCGATTTTCCCATTCTCAATACATTTATGATCTTTTTTGTTTTTATTAAAATTATATTGACTTACATCACTTTTTTAATACTAATTCCTAATGCAGTAATTTACTATTTTCATATTTTTTTCCAATAAGAATGTATACAAGCGCTTTCTGATATGCCAACCAAACAACTACCAGGCGGTGTGGACATTATTGAGATCACAATCCACAAAAATTCTTTTTCAACGTATTTTTAATATCAGTCTGAACTCGGTTTAAAATACCTCTTGAGTTTTTCTTTTATTGATGTAAGAACGACAAGAAGAAAGGAATCTTCTTTATTTTGTAAGACTGCCGAGGTAGCCGAGTGGTTAGCATTGCGTACTAACAATCGGAAGGCTCGGGCTAATCCCCGTGCGACCAACATCCAAAAGTTATAGAAAACTAATTTAAATAATAAATTAAGTTAAATTTTCTAATTGCGCTCGCCCCTCTGAGTGTATTTCGGATATGAAATAAAGGCTCCTCGTAAAAAACCATCAGCCGTTCGGAGGCGGCTTAGTAGTTCCCTCCATTTGTTGGAAAAACATCAAGACGTAAAACCACAAATTGGAGAAGGAGCCCTGCCGAAAATCGCTTCAGCGGTTACAAAGCGCCAATTATATATTAAATATAAGACCGCCGTACCTAAGCCAATGAAGCATAACGAATGGGCCAATGTTGAGTTAAAAACTGGGTCTATTTTGGCCACAGCAATAGCTATCCCTAGCCACTTTTTGTCTGAAGCATTTCATTTAAGCTTGTTTGGAGTTTTTCATTTAGTTTCATTTCGGTCCCTCTTCACAATTTCAACACAATAAATCATTACAGTGATTTTTGTACTTTTAGTATAATATAATTCCGGTTAATGGCTATGACCAACCGGCTTGACGCCATGAGTGTCGAGATGAAAGAAGTTGGGTATAACGAAGTCGAGTTATTCGGCCTAATGATCCCTTGAGTACTTATGAAAGCGTTTGCCTTTCCAAGGTGCGGTTGCGGCTCGCGTATAAAAACGTTTAACACAAGAAGAGATAACAACAGCTGCTTTAGACGAGAGTTTCTAAATTTTTTTAGAACTATGGCTAGCGGATCACTGGCAATGGAAGAGAGCTTCTAGATAAAACTCTGATCTTCGCGGAAGCTGACACGGCGGTAAAGAATTGGAGGGTCCTTAAGGAGTACTTCTTTTCCGATCATCGTTGTATTCAATTAAAACTAGATGGGATAGTCCCCAAAGCCCCCCAAACCCATGATCAATTCAAAATATGCTGATTGGCAATTGTATAGGCAAGAGTTGAAGAAGCTGCAGACAAGAAGAAGCACCGGAAACTTTAAGGCACTTTCTTTGCGAATGCCCCGTACTTTGGAGGAGTAGACTGACGTGTCTAGGGGCGGCAAGCTTTGGAGACCTGAGCGAGATAGCGGGGGCAAAGATGCGGCAACTGTTCAATTTTTCAAACTCTACGCACTGGTTCGATTGGAGGGTAGGGGTCTTTGGGACTCTCAGTGGTGTCACAATGAGCCCGTCTGGGGCTTATGCCGATGCCCGGCAGTCACTTCTATGTTCTAATGTACTAAGGTTTGACATTTGAAAATTTAAGCAGGCATTTCGAGCTTTCAATTACTATAGTTTTTATAGATTTTTAAAGAGAACAATTTTTATGAGCTTCTTACCTCGCCTTGGTTTATATCCATATAATTCCAATACCGGCATGCCATCCTCCATAAAACGCTGCACCTGTTGCCACTTTTCCGCATCCATACCCTCGGTTCTCGGACGCTCATTGGCCTGTGATTTAATATCGGGTATAACTTTGTTCTCGATAAATTTGATATTCTTCAAAGCCGGATCCAACTGTGTGACGCCGCCAGCATCAGCAGCATCGGCGGTTGCACTGGTTAACGTTGCGGCGCTAAGCAACACTAACGAAGCGACAAGTGGCGCCAGTGGGCGTTTCCGGATTTTATTGCACATTTTGGATTACAAATTTTCGATCACTCACTGGCGTTTGAAAAACAATACTTATTTCTTTAATTGATATGTGCGTGTTTGTGTTTTGTGCGATTTATTTTAGATTTTTTCAAATTAATTAATTTTTCGGTTTTTGTTTTGTTATGGCACTATTATTTTGTTCATTATTGCGCAGGCGTTGCGGACTATCTTGAAATATATGTACTCGTATATGCAAGAATGTAGCTTCTATGGCTTCACATTGCTAAATTCACTGCGGTTTGCACAATAAAACATAGTAAATGTCTAAGCTATTTTTAATCGTATTGCTATGTTGCCGCTGGACACTGTAGAATATTTTATTTGAAACACCTAAACGTTTTCGAGAATTAATATGCTGCTTAAGCTATTGGCGCTGGCACGCGGCTTGGAAACCTAAAACGTATTATACTCGTATGTATCGAACGGGCGTTAAATCACGGTATGCCGAGTGTTGTGAACACATCAATAAAATATTTTTTGCGTACTTCGCTGGTGGCACACGCCACAACATCGCACAGCGAAAACAAATCGTAAAATTAATTTTCCGGAGTTTTTGTCATCAGCCAACCGGTTTTGTTAATTTATGGCTTTTGCTTAGCGAATTTTTCCGAAATTGCGTATTCACCAATTTGCGAATGCTTTTCCATTTGAAACCCAGTTGTCACCATTAACGCTTTTCGGTCGGTCTTAGTGGTTATATGTAATAGACAACAAAAACAAGCTGAGATATACATTCTGACATACAATCATACATGTATAGATATAATTGTATCGTAACCCTGCAGGGAAAAATTTTGGTTGTTAGCTAGAATTCATGGCCTAGTAAAAAGTAATCCATTACTTTTGAAATAGATGGATTTAGTGTGATCTGTATCTCACGTGCTATTGACATTTGAAAGCTGATATTTCATACTAAAAAAGGTAACTCGAGAAGTGTAGATCACTTAGCTGAGTAGTGTTTGAACGCATGTCAAAGATGGACATCATCAAAGAGAGCATACGCCATAATCTACAATTTTTCTTCGATAAAGTGGAAAAAGCAAGTCAAGCAGCTGAAAATGTAAACGTTCCTGATACTGCAACTGCAACTGTCGAAAATGTCGACAAAATAATGGAAATCGTCGAGTCTGACCGTCATGCGAGCACTGTTTGGCTTGCTCAGTAGTTGAGCATTATACAAAAAGCAGTTTCGAACCACTTGAAAAAAGATAGATACACAAAGAAACTCGATGTATGGGTTTCACATGAGTCGACGAGAAAAAACCTCATGGACCGAACTTCCAACTGTGAATCATGGCTAAATCGTAACAAAATCGATTTATTTCTGAACCTGATGGTAGCTGGTAATGAAAAGTGGGTTCACCTGCAGTAACGTCAACTGAAAACTGTCGCGATCGAAGAGCAGTGAGATGGCACATACGGTCTTCAAGCCAAGCTTGACGGTGATGAAGGTTTTGGGGTGTGTTTGATAGCATTGACAAGGAATCAATCAGTATCAGCTGCTTATAATGCGCTCTCAACAATTTGGCTGTCTGAAGGAAGCAATCGCCCAGAAGTGCCAAGCCTTGGCCAACAGGAGATTTCATTAGTACGAAGCCAGAACAAAAAAATTGATAGTGATCACAGAAGCTCCGAAAGCTTAATTGGAAAATTATGCATCCAACTTATAGTCCGGCCTTCGCATTAAGTTATTAACTGTTCCTATCTATGGCAAATGATTTGGCTGCTGAAGAAATGGCTTTTGGAGAAGCCTCTCAAAGTTGATTGTCGCAATTTTTGCCAATAGAGACAAGGGCTTGTTTGCGAGGGGCATAAATATATTACCTTCAAAATGGCAAAAAGTTATCGAGCGAAATGGTACATATTTCAAAAAATGTCAGGTGAATTTTAATTTCTATTTGCCAAAAAAAAAAAATTATAAAAATGATGTGGTGAGCTAAATACAACAACAACAAACGGTAATGGAAATTACTATTGTTCTCATTGCTGGTGAGCTGCTGAATTTATTTCATCTTCTCCCTGCAGGGTTGGTTTTTGTTTTTTTAGTATGTATGTATGTCTGCCTCTAACTTTTTATTCATAAAAATATTGCTGTCTGTGTTGTGTAAGACTCGTTGCCGGCGAATGCGAATGGTATTTCAACGGTTTTGTTATGTCAATCACGTTCGTACATAATAATTACTACCAATGCACAAGTGCTCATTAAAATATTTGAGTGCTCAATATTTAGCTGCTCAAATAACTAAGCAGTAAACAGCGTTGGATTAAAAATCGTAAGAGGTTTCCTATTAGACAGGTGCATATACATATCATACATAAATTTTGTTATGGCATAAGAGTAGTAATAATTATTTTGGATTGAAAATACTTTCTATCGAATATCAACGCTCTTTGCAATACGCGTATATACTGTTGCGTAGTAAATAGTTGATGAGTTGTGTGAATCCAACCATTATTGTCTAGGCAAGTAACACTACTTATCAAAATGTGAAGGTGAAAAAAGATTCCCTACGACAAGTAAACTACTCCAATTCTATCTTTTACAAATGAATAAATGATCATCAAATCCGAGCGTCGTTAATAGCATAAAATGTGCTTGGGCGGCAGCGTAAACTATAATTTAGTGGCTTAAGGTGCCTAAATGTAGTTAAATATAAAGACAATCCTCATAATATATCCACCTTAAATGGATATCCTCCCTCTTCCCGGCTAGATTCGGTTATGTCGAGCTGGTTGACTAAAACAAGTCTGACTTTGACGATACATGCCCCCAAAGCTGAATGAAGGTTCTGCAGCTTTTCTGCGCAAAGTAAACATAGCACCTGCTAACCGAATCCCGGTCACTCATATATTACGCCCTCTTTGTCTGCTTATCGTCCCATCGATTTTCCATCGTTATTTACAAAACCTAAATTAAAGACATGCGTAGCCAAAAGTCAATGTCTAATTAATAGTCCTATTAGCTACCTGGATTCCGGAGTTTGTGAGTAAAAACATTGTAAACTTCGCCTCATTTGCACTGCACATAGTTTTCGCGACCCTGCAACCCTTTGTTCGTTCACAAAGTACAAAGCCTGGTGATGTAAACTGAGAGGTCTCCAGGCTTAGTAGAGAAGTGAAGTGAATGGGTCAAGTAGTGAACGAGGACAAGACGAAATATCTTCTGTCATCAAACAAACAATCATCGCATTCGCGACTTGATTCCCACGTCACTATTGACAATCATAACTTTGAAGTCGTTGATAATTTCGTCAATCTTGGAACCAGTATTAACATCAAAAACAATGACAGGCTTGAAATCTAGCGCAGAGTCACCTTTGCAAACAGGTGCTACTTTGGACTCTGCAAGTCCCTTATAGTTCCTGTCCTGCTATATGGTGCGGAAGCATGGACGATGACAACATCTGCGTAAGATTTATGGTCCTTCGCGCTTTGGCAACGGCGAATACCGCAGACGATGGAACGATGAGTTGTACGAGTTATACGGCGACATTTAATATAGTTCAGCGAATCAAGAAGCAGCGGCAACGCTGGCAGGGCCATGTGGTTCGAATGGATGCGAATACTCCAACTTTGAAAGTTTTCGATACAGTACCCGCCGATGGAAGCACAGGAAGATCTCCACCCCGTTGGAAAGACCATGAAGAGATGGACTTGGCTGTACTAGGTATTTGCAATAGGCGCCAAACAACAAAAAGAAGAAACGAATCGGCTAAAATCGCGTAAGCGGTGTCTACGCCAATAAAGTAAGTAAGTAAGTAAGTAAGAGAGGTTCCTTGTTGCGCCCTATTCTAACAGAACACCCTCTTTACCTGTCTCAATGTCTTCGATGCACATATGAACGGCCACCCGGTAAATGCCAAACCTTCCTTTCTCAGAGAGCTCTTTGATACACTTCTTATATAATGCAACCACCACCGCTGGCTGCTTACATTCGTAAAGTTGTTTATATTCTCTTTCTATTAATGGCATTTTCATAGCAAAAATTTTGCATTGGAATTGTAATTCAATTGATTAAACGTTAACCAGATTTTTGTTTGGTCGATCAAGAACCTCAATTGTTCCCTTGGGGTTTAGTCTTGTACACGAAACAACTTTTCAAGACATTTGAAGGTAACAGCCTTGCCAGGGGTTCTAGTTCTTTCTCCTTATCATTGCCTTTCATATATCTAAAGGTCCACGTCTGGCATAAAAACTATGTTTACTGTGTTGCCTCAAGATAGTCTATTAATCGTCCCTATGAACTTGAACAACGTTTTGAAATATTTGCTAGAAACTTTTTTCCTACTCTCCTTTTAAATCGGATACTTAATATTGGTTCGTTGAAGTTTTAGAAAAATTGACTAGAAGTTTAAACTACAGTACTAGATACCCAAACATCGAGCACTATGAGCATCTCGATGCTCGCTCGATGCTCGCTCGATACTCGTTCGTTGCTCAACAGCTCACATGATAGTGTGAAATTTTTTTAATTTCAATTTCTTTGCCAAAATTTCTTTAGTATTTCAATGAGTTTTACTCTTAATAAATAAAAAAAATTTAAATTGTAGAAAGAAGTTCTGCGAAAGAAGTAAAAGTTTTTATTCAAAATGCTCGATCAGCTTGAAAATGTTCGAACAAAATCTTGAGCTGTACTTGAAACCGATTGAGAAATGCTTTCGATATCTCTCCGTCGGAAATTTCATCACTGGAGAGGGGATCTCAAGACCTCCGATTGTATTTCTGACATGAAATAAAAAGCTCTTTAAAAAATCCATCAGCCATATTTAGACGGATTCAAAAAAACTGTACGTCTCTCCAGTGACGGGTAAAACAACAAGACGCGCAAGACAAATTGGAGAACGAGTTCGTCGAAAATCACTCCAGCAGTTATGTAGCTTGAATTATTCATTCTTAAATCGAATCTTAAATCTGCGAACATCAAAAATCGATTTGAACTACCAATAACGACTGTAAATTCTCAACACGACATTGAGTAACACCGAAAAGTCTCATGTAGGCATTGCGCATTAGCCAGACAAAACCACAAATAAATGCCTACAGTTGTAAAAGAAGAATGGAAATTACAGAAAAAATCTTAATAAATACAAACTAGTAAATATACAGACACAAACTATGTTACACAAGCGCGGCATAGAAGTAAATAAAATATAAAGTGAAGCACTTTCCAAGATAAACAAATAAACACAAAGATAGTCTAGAAAAGGTGGGGTTAGAGGTAATCGGCTGCTGTGTGCGCCGGCAGGCAATGTTTTGCAGAATGGTTGAGCAACCACTTAAATTTGATCGCATACAAGGCTGTTTGGTGGCTGTTGGGCCAGCGCAACGCAGGTCATGTCGGGGTGCGACTTGATGAAAATGTACTCGAGTATGATTTTGTACATATCATGAAGCTCCAGTGAGAGTCACATACATGTGTGTGTGGGTGTGTGTGGGAGAGTGTATGTATTGTACAAGCAAGCTTGTTTTCGTTGGATGCTGTGAGCCCAGTCAGGTGGAGCAGATATTTTGATATGAGCATGAGAGTGTCATCGCAGTTAACTAAATATGTGTCATGTATGTGGTTTGTAAGCTGCAACAGACTGCTGTGGCATTTACATACATACATATATGAGTATGTGCACCATATAGTTGCTCATGCTTGTGATTATAGCGGAACAGCGAT